CCTTCCTTCCTTCCTTCCTTCCTTCCTTCCTTCCTTCCTTCCTTCCTCCCTCCCTCCCTCCCTCCCTCCCTCCCTCCCTCCCTCCCTCCAAATATTGTCCTCTGATGGGAGCTGTAACTCTTTCAGGGTGCCTAGCAGGTTCTAGGAATTTCTGTAGCTGTCCTGCATTGTCTTAGAGATTTCTTGTCTATGATTTCTTGAGTTTTGATAAACTTTTCTTTTTTCTGGCAGTCAGGTTTGACTTGCCCCTCCCTGTCCTTGGCTGACCGCCAGCTGTGGCCTATGGGGAAATTACCCAGCCTGAGAGCCTTCCTTTGACCATGCGAATCTGGGCTGGCTTTGCAGCCGGACGGAGAGGGTGAGACCTTCATCAGCTGCCATCCAGTTCTGCCACTTTGGGGGATGGCGAGGTGGGCAGGATCTGCCCCACTCCTCAGCCCTGTCTGAATGGGGGCTGCTTTTTTTCCGTACTGCCAATGATCCCCTGCAACCCACAAGCTGGTTTTGTTTGGCGGTTTCCTGTTTTCCTCTTTTCTCCCTGCCACCTTCTTTTTTTCTTGCATTCCCACACACTCTCTTAACGTACACACACACACACGGACACGGACACAGACTGCAGAAGTCCCTCCCCTTTCTTGGCAGAAGCAGAAGCACAGCCCTAATCCGGCTGCCTCACGGCCCCCGGGGGGGGGAGGTCGGTCTGGGCCTGAGCGCTGCAGGGCTGCTGCTGCTGCTACGGGGGGGGGGGGGGGCTCAGCTGCCTTCTCTCCCACTTTTGGGCCACATTGGCGTACTGAGCCCACACCCACAGGCCCAGATACACCCAATCGTGTCTCAGCCCTGTGGCTCCACCGACCTGCTCTTGGTCGTCTTGCCGTGGTGAGAAGAACCGGTGACGTTGATGGAAGTGCCAGGAGTGCCAAGGAGAGTCAGGAGGACCTGGTGTTTCGACTCCTTCTTTGGTTCATAGGTGCCCTGAGGGTGCCTGAAGCGGAGGCCCCTGGGCTCAGGAGAGAAGGAGCCCTGTTCTGAGCCTGGCCACAGCCCTGGATGGAGGGGGAAGCTCCAGGGGGCTCAAGGGGTCTTCGTTGCTTCCTGCTGGGCTCGCTTCCCCAGCACACGGACTCAAAGCTGCTCTGGGGCAGGAAGGACCCGATTCTCCCAGTGAGTTCAGGCCAACCAAGCAGATACACTGACCCTCACAATAATCACTGACAATCTTTGGTGCTTCCAGCCCTATGATTCTGTGATGTTGGGATGCTAGAATTTCACCAGAAATGAACCAGGACTGTGTCAGAACATCTTCCGTCTAAAGTAAATAGTGCTTCTACTTATTTAGCACATGGCTGTTTTGTCCCTTGTGGCTGCCACAAAGGTGAAAGCTGCTGGCCTCTCAGATGACTCCCAACCTGGGTGGTCTCTTCAGGGGTTGGAGGAAACCCCTCTCATCCGTGGGACCCTTTTTCTTGCAGATGAACGCAGCGTTCCATTCCAGCATTCAGGATGGAATAAGACACTACTATGACGACTTGGATTTCAAAAATATTTTGGACTATGTTCAGCAAAAGGTAACGCTATATTTTTGGGTCAACTGTCATTTTGCTATAACAAAAGTATTACTGGAGAAAGGTTAGATGGCTAGACCGATCCAGAATGCCTTTTTCTGCTAAATAATACATGTGTAATCTGGGATAGATTCTCCCATTCTGACACTGATAATGTTACCTAGTTTGGGCAATGAAACATCTGCTGGAAGTCAACCAAGCTCAGAGAACATCAAGAATCCCTCATCTCAACTCTAAGCTAAAAATATTCTCCTTTGTTGGATTCTCTCATTCGTTTGGGCCTCTGGGTGGCCTCTTTGCAAGCAGGGGGATTCTTGGGGAAGAACATCTGAACGGAGGAATGTCCCCAGGGTTCTTCAGAGGCTGGTGCTTCTCACAGCAGACACTGCAGGAGGACCAGGTTTGTCTATAGTAGACAAGAATCAGGAGGTCCCTCGTAGCCCCCTTTTATTAAAAGGCATATACTGTTGTGATGTGTGATGCTTCTAATGAAGGGAGCTGTACTTCGCAAAGTTTATGCCTTTTATTATTTATTTTAGTTTCATTTTGTTTTCAATTTTTAGATTTTTTTTCATGTGACCGGCTTCTCTGGCCCAAGCGCCCTTGTAGCACATCGGACTTCTTAGTGACTGCTAGCAACTGCCGAATGCAAATTCCTCACTTTCCCAACCTAATAAGTGGGTGAGAAAACTTAAGAACCCAACTCCTCTGCAGAGACCCTGAGGGGTAGAACGTGGAGGTGGTCTTTCTTAGTCCTGAGGGCTTTTGTCGTCCTCTGGGTTTTTATCTCCCTCGTGGCTTTTTTGAAGAGAACGGTTGCTGTTCCCTATTTGACAGTGGGGGAGTTTGGATAAGACTCACCTTTTGCCAGGGGTTCAATAAGAATGGCTGCAGCTGTTCAGGTGTATACTGCCACTTGGAAATCCCCCCCCCCCCCCCCCCCGCTCCCAGAGGGAGGTGACTTTTGGGTGGTCTTGCTAAAATCTCAGCTCGGCTGCTGCTCCGGCCTCAGAGGAGCATCTGCCCAAAGCACATTCATTCCCTAGTCTCCTGATGATCCTGTTGAGCGTGGCCTCCCCTCCCTGTCGCTTGATATTTCAGCAGGAAAACCTGAAAGCTTCGGCCCTTGGAAGATCCTGGTCCACTAGAAGGACCCTGGGGAGCAGCCCAGACACTTGAGGAAGAGAAGGAAGCACCGCCGCCTGTTGAGCAGAGATGGCCATGCTCCCCTCTTTCCCTGGGCAACAAAGCGGCCATGGCTGCAATAGCACAGGTCTCCCTCCTGCTTTACAAAGTGGCCCTAGATCTGTCCAGATCAATGGCCTCGCAGGCTTAGAGCAGGCCAGTCTCTCTGAAGGCTAAGGGCCTCTGTCCTCCAGCTTCCTGGGGCTGCCTAACCGTTTTACTTTTATCGGTTGAAAAGGGAAGCCGTGCATTAAGCTCTTCTCTTTGTCTTGTAGTTTTCCTGCTGTGGAGGTGATGAATTCAGTGACTGGCATGTGAATCCATACCACTCGTGCAACAGCAGTGGCCCTCTGGCCTGTGGAGTGCCCTACACCTGCTGCGTCAGGAAGGTGAGGGGGAAGAGGCTCACACCGGGGTCTTCCAGGTGCGCCTTGCTCTGTGATCCCTTTGGACTGCTTCATGGCAGGGCCACAGTCTCCTCCGGTTCAAATAGCAGGCGGTTGTGTGACATGCTTCTCTCCAGGCCACCCCTCAGCTTCAGTTACTGTAGGCTTCCACACCCAGGGCACCATCCATAGACATGGAGGCAGTTTAAAGGACAGTTGAAGGACACAGATCTGTAAGGTGCCCAGGCTAGAGAAGGCTGGGTTTTGAATCCTGTAAAGGAAAGCGCAAAAAAAGCCACAGCAGTCTCCTAGGCTGCATCAACAGAGAAGGAGCATTGAGATCAGGGGAAAGGATGGTGCTGCGGTGCACTGCACCCGTGAGGACACACTTGGAAAACTGAGCCCGGTTCTGGACGCTGTGACACAAAAAATGATTCTGAAACTCTAGAAAGAGTGCAGAGAAGGGCAACCAAGGTGATTAGAAGGCTGGAGGCTAAACTGTAGGGTGAGCAGTTAAGAGCTTAGCGAAGAGATGAAATAGGGGTGGCCAGATAGTTCCCCTGAAAGGGTGCTACAGAGACGAGGGGAGAAGCTGTGTCTGTGAACTTCTAAAATGTTGCAGTTTTTTCTTCTGGGGTTGCTGGGTTTTTTGGTCTGCTTAGGGTGTTTTGAAGGGCTTCAGTTGGCTTGTGTGTTATGCCGATCCCAGGCAGTTGTAGGAGTCTGTTGGTGGTTTCTGAGATACTCTCGATGTATGGCAGTGTAATTCTTTTTAGGGTTTGTGTTGGTTGTGCTGTATTAACCCAATGGTCAGGGACTTTTTGATAAAGTGGAGTGGATATCCATTTTGTTGGAATAAGTTGTATAGAGGCTTCATTTCCTTTTTCTGCTGTTCCAGTTGCTGCAGCGTATTTGGGCTCATCTGAATAAAGTCCTTATGCAGCTTCTCGTGTGAGAAGTTGGGTTGTGGCTTTGGCAGTGGAGCACCTGGTTAGTATGGGTGGTTTTCCCGTAGACTTGCATTTCTGGTTTGCCATTGTGGTCTCTGCTGATCAGGATGTCCAGGAAGGGTAGCGAGTTGTTTTCTTCCTTTATAGTAAACTGGATTCATTTAAAAATGTTATTGATAGTTCTATGGGTGTTCTGTCAGTGGTCCTTTTTTCTTATGCTGAAAGTGTCATCTACATATCTGATCCATATTTTTGCTTGTATTTGTGGAGGTGCTATGGCTTCTAGATGTTGCATGATGAACCCTTTAATTTGTTGGTAAATATATCCATCACATTGGAAGTATGTGGTTAAGCAGAGGTTATGCGATCCATAATCCTGGGTATTTTGATCTTTGTGTATCGATTAAGTCAGATGTACTATGGAAAAATGCGGTCATGGATTCTTGGTGGTCAAGAATGGTCAAGAATCCATGACCACATTGCTCTACAAGAAGTTGGCTGTGGTCTACTTTAACAAATGCCTCACAAGAATCACAATCAGAATAGAGCTGGAAGGGACCTTGGAGGTCTTCTAGTCCAGCCCCCTGTTCAAGCAGGAGATTCTATCCCATTTCAGACAAGAGGTTGTCCAGTCTCTTCTTAAAAATCTCCAATGATGAAGTACCCACAACTTCTGAAGGCCAGCTGTTCCACTCGTTAATTGTCCTCCCTGTTAGGAAGTATCTCCTTAATTCCAGGTTGCTTCTGTCCTTGAATAGTTTCCATCCGTTGTTTCTTGTCTTCTGGTGCTTTGGAAAATAAGTTGACCCCCTCTTCTTTGTGGCAGCCCCTCAAATACTGGAACACTAATATCATGTCCTTTTCTTTAGATTGGCCATACTGGATGGCTTCTAGTAATTGTCTTGTTTGTTCCTAGGTGCTCACAACTCCTCCTCTTGCTTGCTTGAACCTTCAGGGCCCTCCTGCCCCTTAATGCTTGCAAGAGAAGTATCAGAAAAATGAGGCAACATATTCCTAACACACCAAAGCACAATCCTAGCAAAGCAAACACAGGGCTGCGCTGCGCTGTGAATAGGAACGGAGGGCTGTTTAGAGGCAAAATGCAGCTGTTCCGGGCGAGAGCAGCCGAAGACAACCGAAGGGGGCAGCTTCACCTTTTTTTCCTTCTTGGTGCCTTAAACGTAGCCCCCTGAACGTCCTTCCAGGTGCTGCTATTGGCCACTCTTCTTGTTGTCTTCACAGGCGCCAGGAGAAGTCATCAACACCCTGTGTGGATACCGGACACTCAACCAAGAGGTAGCAAACTGAAACCCACCGGGCTGAGTTGAATGCCAGGCAGCAGCGGGCAGGAGGGGAGGGGAGGTATAGATAAACAAACAAGTAAACAGGTGTTTTGGGGGTGGGGGGGGTTGCTGCTGAACTCCCCGTGGAGGAGAACTGCCCTGGCTTGGGGTGACGCCTGAGATTTTCTGGCAGCAGCTACTGTGGCTGGGAAGCCCAAAGGCTGAGGGGTGGGCCCAGAGTTGGCCAAGGCTCAGCCCAGGGCCTGCAGGACGGGTCTGACTCCCCCTGCCAAGGAACACTCCGTCCCATGGTCCTTGGCCTTGCTTAGAAAGGGCTGGCCCAGAAACCAGGAGGCGATGAGTTCTGCTGCCACTTTAGGCAGGAATGCTGGTCGGGTGACATTGGGCCAGTCCTCCTCTCTCTCAGGGGTGTGTGTGGCTGTGGGGGAAATAGCAGGAGGAAAGAGTGTTGCATGCTCGCTGCCTTGAGTTACTGATAAAATTAAAAAAAGAGGGATACAGCATTCCATTAAATAAATAAATAAATAAATAAATAAATAAATCTGCTTAATTTTTCATGTAACATCCCATCCCGCCCCAGACCATTCAGAAATAATTCAGTCGAAGAGTTAATAGTCCAATGCGGGGGACTCTGCTTGTCCCAAGCCCGTTGGCCAGGCTACAAATGGCAACCACGTGACTGTCAGTGTAAGGAGCAGTTATTCCTTCAACCCCATCGAAACATCGAATGGCCACTCAGTGAGGCGGCCGGTAAGCGGAGGCGATGGGGATGCAGCCTGCTTGAGGGGGAGGGGGGGGGCTTAAACCGGAGCAGGCCAGGATTCTGAGCTGCTGCCTGGCTGCCCCCCCCCCCCCCCCCGCCCCCCCGGGAGACCTTAGAGCTGAATTTTTTCAACCTTGGCAAATTTAAGATGTGTGTACTTTGGGTCCCAGAGTTCCGAATTGGACCCTCTTCTGTTCAGCTTTTTTAGTGTTATCCTGGCGATCGACTACCCTGGACCCCCCCCCCACCTTTGTTTTATTTCTTTCCATCATTCTGCTAAGTTGAAAAGAGCAAACAGGATTAGACCCATTTGGGAGGATCTGCAAATTTCAGATGAACATTATCAGGCGCAGGACGGCAGACAAGAGTGCCAGCCCGTCTGGGGCCTTGACCGCAATCTCAGCCAGCACCACAGGAATTTAGTGCACACTCCTGGCCATGCACCCCAAAGAAGAGATGGGGGCTTCCTGTTCAAAACGGCTGAGAACAGTAGATACCTGGGAGTGTTGTGTGAATGGCCGGCCCAGGAGTCCTCTGGGAAAAACCTGTGGTAGATTTTGTGGTGGCTTCACACAACAGCCTGATCTGGTTACTGAATGGCCCCCTTCGCCCTGCCAAACAGCTCGGTTTGCCCAACATAGTCACATCCTCTGATAAAGGTTTGCCTGGCCACCATACGGACTTGGTTAGTGTTGTGGAAACCAGCATGTAGGGCAAATTTGGGGGTACCTGCTGGATCGCAGTGATTCTTTAAAACTTCCATCGATCAAATGTCATAGCAAAATGTGTGACTGGAGTTCTAAATGCCCATGACTTGTGACGGGATGAGACACAATCATGTCATTAATCAGAGCTTTATTCTTTCTGTAGCGACTGGAGCTGGTGGACACGATCCATGTCCGCGGCTGCATCCACGCAGTGAGCTTTTGGTTCAAAGACAATTTTGAATCCACTCTAGCCATTGTTTGCTCTCTGCTCCTTCCTCAGGTAAAAATCCACTTTGTTCTCTGATAGTTATTTGAGGGTGCTTATATTTTTGCCCATGAAAAAACGGCAGAAAAGAAGCATCACCTAAGGAGACCTTCCTGCAAACGGACGAGATCGGAGCTTCCATCCGCTGGGAGAGGTCCCAGTCTGGGGAATGGTGCCTGCAACCTTGGCATTGGGGTGCCGATCTTGAGGTTTTTAAATGCCCCGCAAGCTCCCACTTGTCCTAATGAAAAAGGAATCCGTAACGCGTCCAGAGTAGCTGGCTGTGTCGGCCCCAAAGTGGGCCAGGATAACGGGTGCTTTCTCTCCAGTTGCCCTCTTTGTTCCTTGGGGAGGTCTCTGGGCATCCCAGTCTGGTTGCAGTTCCTGCCAAGGAGCCGCTGGCTGGGATATTCAGAATAGAAACAAGCTGGGCAGAAGCCAAATTTCTGTTGTTCTCCACAGTTTTCTCTCATCAGTGCCGTTTTCAAAGGCTCCAGAGCTGGCATTCTTCCGCTTGTTTGTTCCTTTAGCCAGGGGCCAGGCAGGCTGTAGGAAACGTAAAATCACCGAACCAGTAGTTACACCAGTCAGATCCCACCCCTGGAGGGGATCCCGCTTTCCGGCCTGCCTCCCACGCCTGCAGGGTCTGCGCTGGTCCCTCCGGCACCAGGCATGGAAGTCTTTGGAGAGCTGACGGATTTTCACCTCCCCGTCCTCAGTGGCACAGCCAGCCGTGGCCCAGGGCCTCTCCACCCCCACAGTGGAGAGAGTGGCTCGGTGGAGGGCACGTCCGGTTCCCAGGCCTTTTCAGTGTTTGGGCAGACTTCGCTATGTGCGCTGAGAATCCAAGAGATCTTGCCGCCAGCTGGAAATTTGGGGGCATTGAAATCCACACATTTTAAAGTTACCAAGATCAACAAAACCGGGTTATAGGATGCATTGGATAGTGTGGATTTGAAAACCTTGGATGGGACACCACTAGGAAAGATTTGTGACTGGGTGTATACAGGAAGCCCCTTGGAAAAGAGGCACCGCTCCCACAAATCCGGGGATCCATCTCTTTTCCACTTCATGCTGATCATCGGCGGCTCCAATCTTGGGATTGTTAAAACTGTTTATTCAGGGTCCGGAAAGAAGGGGGAAACATGGGGGCTTTATGCAATGCTTTTTTTAAGGGACCTCGAAAAAGTTCCTGGGATTAAGCTGGAATCTGTGTGGCACAGGACATCCAAACTGGCCGTGCAGATTTCACAGGACAGACTGAATGTTCTCTTAATCTGGGTTTGCTTGAGGCTTGTGATCCAGGCACGAAGAGGAGAAGCTTTCGGGGCTGCTCCAGCTCAGACCTTTCACAGATGGTCCTCGACTTATAACCATTTGTTTAGGGAACACTCCAAGTCACAATGGCGCTGAGATATATGACTTACAAGCAGTCCTCCCACTTATGACTGGTCCTCCCACTTATGGCCACCACTTCCGAGTGGTCCTGTGATTGAAATCCAGGTACTTGGCAGCCGCCCAGTGCTTGTGACTGTGTCTGCGATCGCCATCCACCTGGGCGTCCCAGGCAGCTTCCCACCAGCAAAGCCAGGGAGGGAAGCCCTATTTGCTTAGGGACCCTGATTCACTTAACGACAGCAGTCATTCGCCTAACAGCCATGGCAAAAAAGGGTGTAAAGTCAGGTGTGACTCGCTGAGTGACCAGCTTGCTTGGCAAGGGAAACGTTGATTCCGGTTGTGATTGTAAGTCGAGGACGATCTGGTATTTGCCATGTCAGTTTTCATTCATTCATGCGGGGGGGGGGGGGGGGGGGGGAGGGAAAGAGTGGAGAGAAGGAGAAGAAAGAGCAGGAAGGAAGGAAGGAAAGACGGGAGGAGGGAGGGAGGAAAAGAAAGGAAGGAAGGAAGGAAGGAAGAGAGGCAGGGAGAGAGGAGGAAGAGAGAAGAAAGAAGGAAAAGAAAGGGGGAAGGAAGGGAGGAATGAAAAAATCAGAAAGGAAGAAAGAAAAGCAGGCAGGGAGGAGGAAGGGAAGTGGAAGAAAGAAGGAAAAGAAAGAGAAGGAAAGAAAGGAGTCTAAGACTCGGGTCTCCAAAGCCCCTTGAAGCAACAGTCAAAGTGTTCCTTGATCCCAGCGACCCCCCCACTTTCCTCCCAAGTAGGAAGATCCTCTTCCTGTCCCGCCAAAGCAATTGATGTGCCAGAGCCTGACAGCCGTGTCCCTGCCTTGCAGCCGCCCTCCAGTCCAGGGAGCGGAGGGCTTGGGGCGGGTTGGGCCGAGTGGCTGCCGGGAGACGCGGGCGCTTGTCCTGTGTGCACGAAACGCCCAGGGGAGGCCTCAGGGAATGGCGCACTGGGAAGGAGGGCTGGGGGGAGCCCACTGGCAGTGAAGAATGGCCAGCAGAGGGCCGGGGGGGGGGCGAAGGCCACTGTGGGCCGGCTACGGTGGGGGGCAGGTGGGAGTGAAGTGGGTGCATCGGAGCCCGACCATCCCGTAGTGGTTCGGTGTCACAGTCCTTGCAGCCAGCCCACAGGGCATGGTGGCCCCGTCCGAAGCGGTCCTGGTGCATCTCTCTCCTTCCTTCTGGCAGGTCTTCGCCTTGGTGATGGCCTGGCTGCATTGGCAGAAGCTGAATGAGATTCATTCCCAGATGGACACCGTGGACTTCAAGCAACTAGACTGGAGCGACTTCAATTTTGCCGCGCTGGACCTCACGGGAGCCGGCTGGTGCTGGTGCTTGCCCCGAGAAGGTGGCTATATCCCCGTCTGCAACCGAGACGAGGAGAGCGAGGCCGAGGCTGCCGCCACCAGCCGCCACAGCCCAGTGTGAAGCCTCCGGCCGCTTGCAGCGCCCACTCCGAAGAAAGAGCCGAGGCTTGGGGCTCCTAAGCCAAGAGGTCTGTGGGTGACCTGTGGCCTTCTGAGACCGATACCCAACCACCCCGTCATTGTCTTTGCATTCGAGGTTGAGTTTAAAATTCAAGTAGGTTTTTCCAGTTTGGGGACTCTGAACTTTTAATGTCTTTTTATTATTATTTTTTTAAAAAACTGAAAATATAGAAGCTTTTTTATTTTATAATTCTTAGATTTTAGAACTTTAGTAGAAAAAAGAATCCTGGGTATTTTTTACACCAGGTGGTTAAAATATTGCCCCTGAATTTTCCTACATATTACCTAGTAGATGGTCCAATTGTTAACACTCGTTTCAAATCCAATTAATGCTTTTATTTCCATAAAAGTCTCCTGATGACTTTAAAGCAGTTTTTTCAGGACAAAAACCCAACCAGTCAAGAATCTTGTAGTGCTGACAATCCCAGTGTTTTCCATTTTACAGACTACAGTACTAATACCACCATCAAAAAATTCTGATGACTGAAAAGCAAGAATTTGGTGTGATAGGTAATGATATATATGGATCTCCAAAATGAAATAAATCTTATGTTCCCATTTGAAAGATTGCAAAACATTTACAGATGTGGCAATCCCACATTTTTCGCCCCTTTGAAAATTAACCTTTATTCTGGCTCTCTCCCAGAGCGTTCACATGTGATAGAAGCCTTGGGTCACCAAAATGGGCCGTGAGTAGCGTAATGTAACCAATCGGATGCAGCTTAGGGACCCAGTGGATCCACAGTGAACAGGTGTTGGAGGACAAAGCGTATCGTTACCTTCACTGAACTTGAGCAGAGGGCCTGAAAAAGAGGCACGTTCTGCATTGATGGAAATTTCACAGCAACACAGGGGGTTAAATAAATAGCGGCCTATCCTAATGGCCCTTGAAAAAAGCCCCGTACTGACTTGTAAAATCTTGTTCTTTTCTAGTCACCCTGGTTTTGAATTTTGCTATGTATATTCTTTGCTTCTTTTTTTCATGATTTTTGTAAGCCCCGATTTGTAATCAGGATACCTTGGGAGTATAGTGACTACAATTGTTCAATTGACTGATCAGTTGATTGATTGATTGATTGATTGATTAAATAAATAAATAAGTGGTTGGACATGGAGTTGTGTTAGTCTTTGGCAGCAAACGGGGCGCCTTTTGCCTCCACAGAGACTTATATCAACAAGTGGAGAAAGGCCCTCATGGATCACAGTTCACATCATCGCACGCCTGGGAACTGGCCCCGGGGGCACCCAGAGGTCCCGTGTGGTGCAGTGGCTAATGGCCCAGGCGAGAGACCGAGAGGCGGCCTCTTCTAGCAGTCCTCAAATTAGGACAACAGTTGAACCCAACATTTCTGTTGCTAAGCAAAACAGAGAAGTGATTTTGCCCCGTTTTCTGCCCTTCCTTGACACAGTTGAAAAGTGAATCACAGCAGTTGTTAAGTGAGTAACCCGATTGTTAAGTGAATCTGGCTTCCCCATTGACTTTGTCGCAAAAGGGGATCACGTGACCCCAAGGGGACCTTGCGGCCGTCATAGAGACGAACCAAGCACCAAGCGCCTGAGTGTTGATCATGTGACCTCCACGGGGATGGTGCAATGGTCGTAAGTGTGAGAGATGGTCCTTGGGCACGTCCTTCAGGGCAATTGTAACTCCAAGCGATCACTAAATGGACGGCTATAAGTTGAGGACTGCTGGTGGTACCTCATGGGCCAGCCCCTCCTCCTCCTCAGCTCCAGGAAGAAGCGGGCCAAGGCAAACCATCCCGGAAGAGGTCAGGAAAACAGCAACGCCTCCGGCTGGGCAGATAGCCTCGCTTGGGAAAGCGTTTCCTCCTTGAGGCCCCCCTGCAGGAAGGCCTCGTCTTGGGTGAGCCCATGGAAGTGCCCTGAGGACGGCCTCCGCTGAAAAAGGATGGATGCCAGGCGGGTCGTTCTGGGGTTCCCCAGGATCCGTTTTGTTTCCCCCTTTTTGAGGAGGGGAGCCACATCAGTTCTTTTCCAGTCTCTGGTGGTTCCCCGGTACTCCAGGATCTTGGAAAGAGGCGGTTCAGGGGTTCCGAGATCCCGTCTGCCTGCTCTCCCAGAACCCTGGGGTGTAAAGTGCCTGGTCCTGGCGATTTGAACTCGCCTAGGGCGGACAGGTGTTCTCTTACTATTTTCTTGCTTATTTTAATTTGGATTCCTAGCCTGTCTTTTACATGTATGTTTTTGGTTGGTTGAGATATACTATCTTTGTACGTGAAGACAGATGCAAAGAGTGAATTAGGCAGCTCTGCTTTCTCTCTGCTGCCCTTCCCTTCCCTAGTGGACGGATTGTTTCCTTGACTCTTTTGTGTGGTTGTATCACCCCATTGTGGTCACAAACTGAAAATCTGTTTGAATAATACAGAGGCAGAGCAAGACTGGCTTGGAATGGGAGGGCGTGGTGGCAAGAAAACTCTCACCAACCATGCATGGGGATGCTGCCAAGGTGCTCCTGAGTCACTTTTTCCAATGCCATTGTAACTTTGGTCACTAAATGAATGGTTGTAAGTTGAGAACTACCTGTATTGTATATAAATTGGAAGCAAACCTCCAGACGCTGCTGATGGTCAATGGTCTCAGGTAATGAAGCGCCTGCAAGCAAAGAACCGAGCTCAGAGGTCACCAAGGCCTCCACATTTCGACCTTGGGCTACAGAGATTCTCTGCTCTTGGATCTCCTCTGGCAAGTACAGATATGAAGACTTTGTATTTTCCACTGTGTTCCGTATGTGGCAAGATGATTTCATTTTGTTCAACAGCTGTAATTTGAATTCTTGTTACCTTATGCTTTCTTGTATTTAATTTACCTGCTAAGGTACTCAATAAAGCTTGAAATCTCCTTCCTCACTGCTCTGTTCATTGTCTTTGGATTCTCAAAGAACCGCTGCCTAACACTTGGTGAAAGGTTCACATATACAGACACGTAGAGATGTTCTGATATCGAAGGTTGACCACTTCAGAGGCTAGAAATCCTCTAAAACTTTCATGACTTTTTACTTCTTCCTTGAAGTAATTGTGGAAAAAGATTTATCCGTTACATGAAAGAGTAGCAGGCACAGAGGTGCTTAAAAGCCACTGGAAGTTGCTGGGAAACAATCATCTCAAGTGACCTCATAGCTAAGCCCATTTTAAACCAGGATGCTTAAGGAGTTTTGCCCTAAAATCTCGTCAACACACTTGTCACCTTTTTCTTTTTTTAGTGGAGGTGTATCCGTTGGCTTCTACGGCTTTATCCTCAGTTCAAATGTCGTCTCCACCGCGACTTTTCTAGGAAAGCTATTTGTTCTCTTTCAGCCTTGGGTGCAGATTTATAACACATAACTTATAGGGAGGATATTGAGAAAGGTTATAACTAAAATGTGTGTGCAAAGGAATTATCCTAAGAACACTATACTTAGCATTATTACTTAAAAAAAAAAAAAAGGATTCCATCGAAGTTGGAACCATCTCTCCAATATGTTTTCAGACTCATGATACTGGGAAAACTCTGGAGGAGGAGGGGTGTGTGGGGGGGTGAGGCCTCTGTTTGCCATGGTTCCATCAGGTTTACTCATTCAGACCGTTCAACTAGGACCAAAACATTCGGCCAAGGCGCCTGCATTCCTGCAACCAACAATCTTAACTCATCCAAGACCTAGAAACTAATTCTGCTTGGTATCTTTAGCAGCTGTGGGATAATCGGCCACTTGAAGTTGGTTGTGTATTAAATGGGTCAGAATTTGTCTGAACACACTCATGTATGAGCAAGAGAACCATACCATGGTCTAGTTCCTTGCTGCTCTGAAGGGATTAGTCCACATCACGTCACACACGTTTCAACAGAGAAGCTGCTGCTGCTCTAACATTTGTAGGTCGATACTATCCCAGCCTCCATTGGCCTCTTGCTGACTCTGATAGCTGTCCAGGACTGAGTGGGATCCAAAGCTTGCAGCTGGCCAGAAGCTGACGAGTCCCCTGAATGTAGTCTGGAGCATTTCTCGGGAAGGTTCAATTGTAAGTACATTGTCTGAATGTATATTCAGAATTCTTTGTAGGCCTGTTGAGGAAGAGAATGCTTCCAAGGGAGAGGCTTCGGAAAAAAAGGAAGTTATCACAGATGCCAGAAGGTGTTCATCTGTACTATTTGTAAAAAAAATAGTCTGAATTTTTGTTTCATTTTTAAAGTTTGCTTATAATACTTGATCCCAAAACTCTACTGCAGCATTTTTTAGTTCATTGAGTTGTGCTTAAAGCCATTTGTTTTAAGTTATGATGTATAATTTATGAAAAATGCATGGTTAAGCAACTTACCAGATTCACTGAGGCAGTTTTAATATATATTCCACTTTTAATATACTTTAATATAAAACTGCTTTTGACCTAACTGTAATAAGACAACATTTTCTCTTGATTTTCTCAGTGTGCAGTAAAGAACAGCCTGTAGATGCCAGAGGGAGAGACCAGTGTTGGGTTCAAAGTGACTTTGGAAGGGATTGATTTTTCTGCCATGAAATGTGACTGCATCTTTCCCAGTCGCCCATAAAGGACATTTGGGAAATTAACATGCATTGAAATAATAGAAAATACTTGTAGTTCAAGTTTTAGATTTTGACAGAGGTTTGACCTCCAAGCTTGTTTCAATGTAGTTTCTGAACATTTCGTTACCAGACCATCATATCAGCAGGATTTTCTGGTCTGCTTTCTCTTTTGCTTGTATATGTCTTGTGTCATCAGTTGAATGTTCAGAAACATTCAGAAACTAAATTGAAACAAGTTTAGAGAGCAAACCCCTGCCAAAATTAATATGCATTCCTGATTTAACAAAAACAAGAAATCCTGTACAGGGACCACCAAGGGAAATTGGGCCTTGGCTTAAAATGTGCATCTTTGGTAAAGGAATCCTGTCTCTGTGAGAGTGGCATAAAACCGTTTCTGCCTTTTTGACAGCCTGAGTCGTGTTATGCTACAGGTTTCCAGATCATTTTAGGCTGTATGTTCCCATATACTTTTTGGTGTATGTGTGCCCTCGATTCAGTGTTGGTTGATTCCAGCAACTGCCTGGATGAGCCTCCGCAGTTTTCTTGGAAAGTTTTGGAAGTGCTTTGCCCTGGCCTCCTCCTCCTCCTCCTCCTCAGGGCTGAGAGAGAGGGACTGGCCCAACGTCACCCAGCCAGGTTTATGCTTAAGGTGGGACTAGAACTCCCTGTCTCCGGGTTTCTAGCCCCGGGCCTTAACTCAGGCATATCAATCCCATGATGGGGCAGACATGCCAGGCAGAGCTTTCCCTTTAGCATAATCAAACAATCCAGCAGATACTCGCTCAGAAACGAGCCTCACTGTATTCAAAGAGATTAAACGGTTTCCCAGGGGTAGATGACACTGAATTCAGTTGACTTACAAGTGAGTGGCATGAATACAGTGGTACTGTTAGTAAGTGAATTATAGCAAGGAACAATCCAAGTTGCAATACACTTTTCATAAAAGCTATCTATATTTTATTAAGCTTGTTAAGCTTTTATTAGACTCAGCAATTTTATAAATTGTTTAAGGTGCAATGTTCACCTATTTTAAATTATAAAAATTTCCGTGTGTGTGTGTGTGTATTAGAATTTCATTATTATTTAATAAATCTTTACCTTTAAATCTACGATAGCATTTACTGGTTGGCCATGATGTACGAGAATGACACCATGGGCGAGAGATGCCTTAGCACCTTCAGAATGCAATACGATGATGAAGAGGGTAAGGATGAATTTCCTGGATTCAGGCTCCCTCCTTCTACTGTGGCTCAGTGATTTTTCCAGTTCTGGTGTCAGGCAACCCTTGGGCATGGAATATGTCCCCCATTTCCCTTACGTACTTCCCTGAGTAAAATACGTTTTAGTTGTTTTAGTTACATGTACATCACATCTGTAGCTGGGAAAATTCTTCCCTTCCTTGTCCAGGACATGGTCCCAAATTGCTTGCAGACTCTGCTGAACACTTAAGAGCATTTAGTTAGAAAAAGTCCTACCTTTCACCCATTTGTCCCCATGTGCTCCTTTCAAGGGGCAGCTATTGTATGTAAGTGCTGCAGGATCTGTTCTAGGTGCTTAACTTCTCCTCAA